TTGCCTAAGTCTCTCAGGTCCATTTTTGTCCATCTACGATGGTGGTCCTGGCAGCTGCTTGGTCGATATGTTTGCGGGAATTCACGCGCACTAAGGTATGGTGAAACAAAGCAACGTCTCAAGCTCAGTTTCTGTTTCTCCCCTTGACAGCCGCGACGCGAGGATAATTTGCCAGCCAGGGTTTGCCTTAGCTGCATCAGCGAAATAAACCATTGTTACTCATTTAAACTGAAATGTGAGAGCTCTAATCGTACGCTGCGACAGCTGCTGCCTAATGCACTGCCCGAGGAGTCCGATCAACTGGTCCCCACTTCCGACTAGAGTAGCAGTCTCCACATCCGACAGCTCATCGCAAACGTATGTAACGGCAACAGTCAGCAGTGAGGCACAAACGGATGAAGTACCAAAAACAGATGCGGAGCAAAATACAAGTAATGAAGAGCACCAACAGCCGGAGACAACGCCTGTAATGGAGGAGGACGAGGAACAGGAGGGTCAGGAGGAGGAAGAATATGATTACGAATTTACCGAGGAGCAAGAAACAGATGACACACCGACCAAGGCCAGCGCTGGAAATATAATATTGCACGTGGAAAAAGACAACATCAAGTTCGAGACGGAAATGGTATACAATAAGAATACGGGAGAGTTGCTTGAACAGTCTATGGAAACTATTGCCAAACAGAAGGAATACAAATATCGGCTTGTTAGCAATGGTAATGGTGATACATACATCTCACGAGAGCCAGTTTCGAAAGAGAAGCAATCGACTCAGCAGGACTCAGAATCAACGTCCACGCGCACTCAGCTGGAGGAGCAGCTGGATGCAAAGAAATCAAAGCCTACACCCGCAGCCGACGTCGATGAGCTAAAGGCGAAGTTCCATTGTGATCGTTGTAATGCGGGCTTTGCGTTGGAAAAATCCTTGATCATACATCGAAGGCAGAACAGCTGTACCCATCGCAACTTCAAGTGCAATGAATGCGAGCGAGTGTTCGTCTCGCTTGATCATCTAACCGAGCATCAGGCCACGCATGGCGCGTTCATATGCCAGGAGTGCGGCTTGCGCTGTGAGTCCATGGAACAGTTGGGCAGGCACATGGTGCAGACACACAAACGGAATCTACGCAATCAGTGCAATGTGTGTCAGAAGGGTAAGTGGATGAACCAGATGACAAAATGTTGAAAACTGGTAAATTGATAAACTTGCTCTTTTCATTCCAGTTTTCACTATGCTGTCTACGTTGCGAGATCACATGCGCATTCATACCGGCGAGAAACCATTTGTGTGCAATGTCTGTGGTAAGGGCTTCACACAAAATGCGAATCTGCGACAGCACAAGATGCGACACTCGGACATAAAGCGATTTAAGTGTACTCTGTGCGATCATTCCTTTGTAACCAAAGCGGAGCTAACTTCTCATGGGCGCACCCACACTGGCGTCAAGCCTTATCAGTGCGAGGTCTGTTCCTCTAGATTTACGACGAGCTGTTCCCTGGCTAAGCACAAGCGCAAGCACACCGGCGAAAGGCCCTATGCCTGTGATCTATGTCCCATGCGCTTTACAGCTCTCAATGTTCTCAAGAATCACCGACGTACACACACGGGGGAACGTCCTTACGTTTGCCCCTTCTGCTCGAAAAGCTTTACGCAACGTGGCGACTGCCAGATGCATCAGCGAACTCATCAAGGCGACAAAATCTACATTTGCCCGGTGTGCAGCGAGGAGTTCAAAACGATGAACGATATGCGCACGCATCTAACAATGCACGAGCAGGATGACAAGCGCCTGGTCCACTTCACCCTGCTGAGTAACAAGGAGAACGGGAACGCGTCGACACTGGAAGAGGCTGATGAGGAAGAGTCGGATGCAACTGATTTACTGTAGGCTAGTTTTTTCACAAATGGATTTTTAAATAAGCTGGGGGTATTGCATAGACTAGAGCTGGTAAAGGCAAAAATTTAGCTGAAATACTCTCAATAGTTAGCAACAGGAGTTGTCAGGTTGAATCGATTGTATTTATCGATAATCCATTTGAAGGGTATGTAGAACATAAGTTTAATAAATATTCCCTTGCTATTGTTATATAGTGGGTGAAGATAAAAAGACAAATAAATGCGATTATAATTCGAAGATCGCTTGGTGGACTAGTCTGTCACTAGAAAGTTAAGGCTTACTGTTCTTACTGTCGATCGATATTCGTGAAGTCGGAAATTATCAATAGTATTAGGGCTTACTGATATTGTCGATATTTATGCGGAGTATATACAATTGGGGCCTCGCAACGCATAAGCTAGACAATATGCGTAAGATTGTATTGTTTCGAAACATAAAACTGATATCTTATCGATACCTCGATTGTTTCCCAGTTCTATTGCAAAAAATGAAATAATTTTGTAGCATTCCTTAGTCTTTAATTTGTAGCTTACAACAGTAGTTATTAAAATGCTTATGATTCGATACATGAAGTTGGTCGCCTAATAGAATTGTCCGTACTGCGCTGCCGGTTGCTGCGGCGTTTGAATCGCTGATGTGGACGCCTCCGTCGTGGCAACAGCGACGGAAGGATTAAGTGATGTGTTGCTGGTGACAGGCGGATTGCCTTGAAACCAATTGACCAGTTCGTGGTGCGCACTCTGAACGCATTTTCGCTGATCAGCAATCAGGTTTTCTGAGTATTTCACATGGTTGGCATACGCCTCCTTCTCGTGTTGCGCATCTTTGGACATGCGATGCAGATCCTTCAGTATCGCCGAACCCCATAGCTGCACATGGATATCAGGTATTTTACTTGCCAATTGCATGGCTGGCGTTACCATATTCATACTCTCTTTGGAGTTGCCTATACTAAGGAAGACATGTGAGAGCAGCACCAGGGAGCAAGCTGGTCAGGCGATTTAAATCCTCTGCATTGGCCATTTTTAACGTTTCACGCAAGAAGCGTCTGTATAAATAATTAGTTTATTGCATTATAAACGTTAAAATTATATCATTCTCTACTTACTTGGCCTCATGAAAGCTGTTCTTGTGGAAGGCGTGTAATCCCTGTACATAGTAAAATCCACCCATTAAGGCTTGACTGCTGTAAGTGTGCGTATTTTCCGTGGACACGGCGTCGAGTATTTGTTTGAGGTCAGCCTCCCGTTTTGTGCGCAGATAAATTATGGCCAGATTGAGATTGGCAAAGAGCTTGAGATCCCGCTCGGTCGTCTCGTTCACGCATACCAAAAACTGTCGTTCTGCGTGTTCAAAGAAGCTCGTTGACATGGAATACAAACCGATAAGGCAATGCAGCTGTGCCGAATGGCGCTTGAGGAGGTTCCGATGTGGCACAGCGAGGCACACATCGCGTGCAGCGGCTATCTCACGTATGGCCAGCTCGCGGTTACCCATGACCATACGGCACATCACGATGTGTTCCAACAGAATGACTTTAAATACGGATAATATGGATTTGTCCTCCTGAAGTTTCAGTTTTTCAATTTGTGTTAACGCCTTTTCCGTATACTTTTGCGCTTTATCCATATAGCCAGCCATCATTGAATGCGAAACAGTTACCAGATAGACAAGTACATAAAGCTGCTCCTTGGGAAGCCAGACAAACATCTCCAACTGATTGCCACCAAAGATCGACTCGTCACTTGGCCAATTAGGTGCCATAATCGTTTGTATAGACATTTGAAGTTGCTTTAAGCTGGGCTTCACAGTCTTCACCTGGCCAAGGGCCAGATAGTAACACACTTGTAGCACCAGGAAGAACACTTTCAGATACTCCTTTTGATGAGGATTAGGTATATTATTGTCAATGATTTGACCCGCTGAATTGAGCAAAGCCAGTACGTCGTTCGTTTTCCGTTCAATCATTAAGATCATGGCCCGTGAGAGCAAAAAACAGCACTTTAAGGTATGTGGCGCCCGCCTCCTCAGCCGATTCGGCTCCAACAGCCAACAAATCACTGGCTAGCGAATACTCACGATCATTCGCATGGATTTGGGACAGTTGCAGTAAAAGCTTACAATGCCAATAAACATTGTTTTGTGATAGTTCGACGGCACGTCGCAGCATCGCCTTGGCATGTGAACCCTGCTCCGTTTTTAAATGCAGCTGGGCGAGTAGTGAGGCAGTATCAAATTTAACATCATCAAAATTCATAAGTGGCTCTGCGATGTTCCATGCTTGTTCCAAATGCCGACGCGCCAATTCTATGTTACACGTGTACGCCATTAGAACTTGTCCCATTTGCAGGTGTGTACGCGCCTCCACCTAAATAGAAGATGTCAATATCCATGATTTGGATATTTGTTGTATTTGTTATTGACTTTCACTTGTAGTACACTTACCTTTGAAGGCGGCTGAAAAGTGAAGAGCGCCTGTAAACATTGTATGCATTTTTAATGTTTGGCGGCTGTGAGGTACGAAAGTATTCGGCGAGTCCAAGCAGCGATATATAACAGGCATCTTGTGAAGCTGCTGTTGTGTGTACAACACTCATTGCGTTTAATTGCTAGGAAATCGGCTTCGTTTTGTTTATCGCGTAATTTTGTTGTTGTTGCTACCGCTGCGTGGGTAATGTGGTTGTTAATCAGTGTTGATAAACATTGCGGCGCAATGTTGCTATGTACACCATCGATAAATTATTTTGTAAAAAATAAAAAATAAATCACAATTTGAAATTCGATAAGAATTGTTACATGCATACATCATATTTTAAGTTATTTAAGTTACGATCTATAAAATGAATTTTTAAGCTAATCCCAAAACTGAATATTAATCAAATCAACTTTATATAATATAAAAAATTAATTTTTTCTTCAGCACCTTTAAATAAAAGAAAATAGTTGCGCCAAATAAAAATACTAGAACCGTAGTACCTTTAATCAACAGTCAAAAGTGATATATGCTTCACTTAGCAATTGTGCCGCGAACACGATATCGAAATTTTGAAATTGTCAAATTTCATAAGTTAGTCTCCGTTATCTGAAATGAAATGATCATAAAAACTGAGTAATGCAATGTCTTCTATGCAAGTGGTTGTACGGTACGGTATTCCGATATCTTATTCATGACGCATCGATAGTTTCGCAATATTCTTGCTTCTCTAGCATTGTTGGCGTTCATCTTTTTTGCGACATTTTTATAAATTTTCGTGAAAATATGAAAATGGACATTGAGAAAAATGCAGAAGGGACTGGCGTTGAGCTCACAGATGCAGAAAATGAACTATATGATAGACAAATTCGACTTTGGGGCTTGGAATCCCAAAAAAGGTTAGTTTGCCGGTTAGCCGGCTATCTCCATTTTTTTTTAAATCAATTAAAAGTAATAAATGTTAAATAAACATAATTTTTTAGACTGCGCACAGCCAATATACTGATTTCTGGTCTGAATGGGCTTGGTGCTGAAATAACTAAGAATATCATTTTATCCGGTGTTAACTTGGTGAAATTGCATGATGACAAATTGGTCACCGAAGAAGATTTTTGCTCACAATTTTTGGCGGCACGTGAAGAATTAGGAAATAACCGCGCCGAAGCCTCATTAACGCGCGCTCGAGCTCTTAATCCCATGGTGGACATATCTGCGGATACGCAGCCATTGATCGAGAAGAATGCGGACTTTTTTGGTCAATTTGATGTTGTAGTTATTAACGGGGCAAACAACGAGGAACTGTTGCGAATTGATACAATCTGCCGGGAGTTGGGCGTTAAGTTTTTTGCCACTGATGTTTGGGGCATGTTTGGTTTTCATTATGCTGGTTTACAGAAACATAGCTACGTAGAGTAAGTGGTTTGAAGTCCACATAGAAAGACCTCTTTAATATTGTGTATTCATTATTTTTAGAAACGTTTTCAAGTACAAGGTAATATCGAAGCCAAATGAGAAGGTTAAATATGAAACGGTCTCCACACCAGTCCAACGCGAAGTCGAGTATCCAGCCTATTCCAATTGGCTGGATTTCAATATTAATGCCCCAAACTATCAACGCAAGTTGAAGCGCGATGGACCAGGCATCATACTGTTGCGCGTTTTGCAAAACTTTCGCAGCACACATAATCGCGATCCCAACTATAAGACCAGAGAAGCAGATATTGCTTTGCTGGAACAAATCCGAGACGAGCTTGTGCCAAACTCTGCACTGACCAGTGATGCACTTGGCTTACTTTTTGCACAAATATCGCCAGCAGTCGCTGTCGTTGGTGGCGTTGTAGCTCAGGAGATTATTAAAGTAGTGACTAAAATGGAAGCTCCTCATCGCAATTTATTTATATTCAATCCGGAAACTTGTATGGGTTATGTGGAAGCAATTGGTGTCAACTAATTGACGCCAATTTTATTGCATAAATAAAGTAAAACTTCATTCATAATTTATCTTAAAAAGTTAATTTTATACTCAAGATATTAAGACAACACTATCAAAGAGAACTTGCAACATCCTTGCAAACTCTTCTACACAGACTGATGAAACTCGTTTCTTTTTCTCTTTTATCATTAGAGAAAATTGGTAGTAAAACAATTGTTAAGTTTTGCATTATGCATGTTGGTTTAATACAAAAAGCAAATGGAAATAAAAGAAAACTTATCAATTTGTGAGAATTTCTGCAGCACGATTCTCCATAAGTTTTTCCATATTTGTAATCGCACCCATCCATGTGTCCAGTGTACTGGCCATTCCAACAATTTGCGTGCGGTCCAAAACACGTGGCTGCACCCAAGACATGTTCACTACCCCAGCCACTTGATCAATCTCGCCGCGCACCAGATCTAGAGCCAGAGCCTTCATGATCAAAAACTCAACCTCTTTGGGTGGCAGCTTTGTTTCATTGGCGATGTCAGCAAAGGAAATTGCACGCTCAATGGCCGAACGTTTAAAAGTCATCTCCATAAGGCAGAGCAATGAAATCTTTTGGCGCAGTTTAACCTCCTGCGCAGCCAAATCGGGAATTTTCGACCAAATATTTTTCATTTCATTAAATCTATTTGAAATGACAAATACAAATTTAATTTAAAATTATTAAATAACTTAGGAGCACTCACTTATTAATATCGCCCATGTTGAATGCCTTTAGTAACTCGACCAGCCATTCGTTTTCCGTATTTTGAAGTGATTCCAAAATGGGATGCGCCAATAGCTCGCCAATGTTATAGACGCCATCGCCTAATAGAGCGGCCAGCCCCAAAAAGAAAGCTTGTTGCGCCCATTGATCGCGAGGGTAGTCGTCCAGCGAACAGCCCAGGAACTGCAAGCCACAACGATAATATTCACTGTGCTTGCCCACACGACGATAATATTGGGAGGCAAGCATATAGTATTTGCCATGCACGGGAGTAACATTGCCTGCTTCTTCGAGAACATCACGCAGTTCTTCAATGATTTTCTTGGTGGCAGTAAGATCGTTCAGATTGCTGAGATATAAGTTGCCTTGCATGACTTGCAGATACCAGACAGCTTCATCACATATTTTAACTTTATCCTTCATTTTTTCCAAAAAGTCGATTGCCTCCTTTTTGTCACTGATATTATCCACGACTACCTCAAGTATTTGAATCAGACCATAGGGATTTATTCTGCAATTATATATCATATTTACCAAGCCTTGATTAATTCGGGTTTAACTTACTTTGTTTCAAAGGTAGAGATAAAATTTTGGTACAGCTGCAGTAGAGCGCTCTCGTCCTGCAGAGTTTCATGGCGCACAAATGCAACTAGCTTAATCGTAAGCTCGTTCCATAGCATGAAAAAAAAACAAAATATTATATATAATTAAAAAAAAATTAAAAACGCTTACTTTTCATTGTGCAGCTCTTCAATTAGAGTCCATTCGGCAGCGAGCTCTTTGTTTGTTGTTTTCTTTTGTGCTGCCAAGTATGCAGTAACTGTCGCTTGCGTATTCGACATTGTTGCTATATCCTGAGCTGAGCTATGTTCTGAATATATATTTAATTTAATTTTGTATAAAAATATGCGCGTATGAAGTAGGCAATGTGAAATTGCAAATCACAATTAGAGATGCCTAAAATATCGATATAATATCAATATCGATTACTTGCGAACGTGATATTGTAAAAGTAAAATATCTGATTTACATTGAAATGTGCCTTAATTTTAATAAATGAATAAATTTGTAAGTTTTCATGCACACCAGATCAGAAAATTGATGTGCTCTCAAATATTTCCACAGTACAAGGTATCGTACATACTCCACTTACAATAGCAAAGACATAAACCATTAAAGTGGTGGCACTAACAAAGCAACTGTTATGCACTGAACTGGCAACGCTCAACTTTAAAAAGATGAAATCACTTATCAAATTGTAAATAAAAATAAATGCCTAGCAGCGATCTTCGATATTTTTATGTAACGTTCGTTTAAAGGAAGAATCAAATTTTATATATTACGATTGCGAGAAACTTAGAATTTTCGATGCAATGTTATAAGCAGAGACTGTTAATCTAATTGCCACTGTTAAGCTGTTCATTGTTAACAGAACGAACAGCTGTTGGGCACTGCGTGGGGAGTTCAGTTCAATGAGAACAGCTGAGCGTGAAAGTCGTGGTGCACGGAAAAAATATAATCGTATTTCCAAACATTTATAAACGTGAACGATAAAGGATATAACACGTCAGATAGTTTAAATTCAGCTTAACCGCAAGTACTTCCAACTCAACTAGTGCAAATCCGTGCAGTTCTATTTTAACAATCAAATCTCATGCGCACCTAGTAATAACTACAAAGAGCACCCGTATCTAAAAAAGGAAAAAAACGAAAAGAAAAGAAAAGTAACACTCTGATTGTTTAAACAAAATAGAAAACGAAATTGTCTGCACTAGCAATAGCATGTTAATGATTGTGTGATTGTTATATAAATGTTAAAAATTTATTAACTACATTTCACACACACTCGAACCATTATGTGGATTTGTTTGCAAAGTGTTCAAATAAATAAAACTTATACGCATAACTCAATAGATTTTGTGCTTTAAATACGAAAAAAGACGTGCTCCACAATATAAACTGGAAATAAAACTCTTAACTAGTTGCTAGCTAGTTTGTGGTGTGTGTGTTTTGCCAATCGGCAAACACCAGCGTTTCATCTTGAAAGCGAAATAAGCGGCTTCATTTGCATTTGTTTTGTCCGTGACCAATCATCAGATACAAAACACATCGAAGTGTTCAGCCACCCAGCAACAGAAAGCATCTATATTGAATATATCAAAAGCGAGGTTAGTTCTCTTTACCATATGTTTAGTTATAGATCTGTTAGCAATTGTGCGTACTGTCGCGTTGCAGTGGAATCTTATCAATTGGCTAATCTTTGGCCGAGCAGCAAACTATTATGCAACTGTCCAATCCAATTCCATTCAATTGTTTACGCCACTTATCGTGGCGCTTGCCTGCCCCATTATGTTGCGGGCGCAACATGTGCACCGCATGTTCCGTTCAGCGTCCCTATTGCCTATTGCCCATGCTTATTGTAAGTGCATTTCCTGGCCGCACTTGAGGCAGTCGAGGACGCACATTTCTATTGTCTACCATCGACGAAAATGATTTTGTTACAAGGGGGAACGAGAGGGTGAGAGCGGTATGTTGTATCCTGTTGCGCTCTTAACTTTTCCCATTTCCTGCAACTGTCGAACTGGTGCTCGAAAGTCTCTGCCACTTTTTCAAAATCATTGTCAGCGCAGTTGATATTTCCTTGGCCAGGCCCCTGCTAAAGTACCCTAGCCCAAGTAGGCTATGCGTTCGCCAAATTGAAACGTGCGACATCTGGCGTAGACGGGCGGAACTGCCCGCCTGTCTGCCTGCTTCGAATTCAGTTTACAGTTATGTGAAGAGCGGCAATTACAAATATCCAAATAAAAAGAAAAGAAAAAACAACACAAATATGAAAAATAAATAAATAAAAATACAACAATATTGTACAAGTGTGACATGTCTTTGTTTCATGATTAACTAATAAATACTCTATATTTCGAGTGAATAATACAATTTTTAAATTGATTTCATTTATATAAACTTACTTTAGGCCAAAACGCTAATATAATTTAACGCTCACTAAATGATTTATAATTCGTTAATAATGTCTGTATAAGTACATTTAAAAATCCGAACAGTTTTTAACAAAAATTTACTTAGTTTTATATTTAAATTGAATATTTAATGACATCGAAATTGTAATTAAATTAAGTTTTTATTATTTTTTTAATTAATTGTTTTATAATAATAGTTAATTTTTTTAAAATAAACTTAATATATTCTTCTAACAATCCCAAAGTTTTAAACAATATCGGGTTTCAAATTAAATAGCTTATGAAAATGATTCCCAATTGTTTTTACGGAAATTCCACATAATATATCTACGAATTTTACGAACTAGTTGCACTTCACACAGGGTATAAATGAAAAAAATACATTCCTAAAGTGCAATTTGCTTTGCGTTGCCATCGAATGTTGACTGCTCTTGTTTTTCTGTTGTCTGTTACACTGGCTATTAAAAGCAAAAGTGAAAAATTCCATAGAGACGCTGGCGGCATCAACTGTAACGGCAACTGCAACGCCAACCGCAACAGCAACTGCAACTGCAGCAAGAGCTACTCCAACAACGGCAACAACTCTGTCAAGTGCGTTGTCGCTTCCTCTTTGGGTGCGTTATGTGGCCAACCAACTGAATATACATAAGGGTGTGCATGAGTGTATGAGTGTGTGTCAATGTGGCTGCCTGTGTGTGTGTACGTGCGTGTAAGTGTGATTCAATTACAGGCCAATCCAGTCCAAGTTGAGGAGTTGTCTGTGCCAGGCCCAAGCCTCAATTCGATGCTCGGCGCGTATATATTGCGAAAGAGTTTTTCAGCCGGAGACTTGGCCAAAGTCAAGCCGCATGCCTCATAACTATACGCACACACACACACTTGCACGGCTGTGTATGTATTTACATTGATTCGAATTCCATTGGCGGCGATTTCATAATCGCTTACGCCGCTTCCCTCGTTTTACTTAATTTTTTTACGTATTTTGTTGCTTCTTCAGCTGACTTTTTTTATTTTTAAATATATACATATATTATATATTTACATATATACGTATATGTATATAGCTTGGTAGCATTTTTATGTGAGTGTTTAGCTTTTGATTTTTTGGGACTGCTTTAAGTTTGAGCAACAACAACAATGGCAACACACGAAACAAAAAAAAAAGTTGTTTCAATGTTGGTAACTTTCTCCTCAACCACCTGCCAAAACCGCAGAGCGCTCAGCTAGCGCTGTCAGTAACAACTGTTTTTATGTATATGTATAGATGTGTGTACGTGTGTGTGTGCGTGTGTGTATGTATGTGTGAGTGTTTCCATTTGTCATGTTGTTGTATTTGATATGCGCGCTATGCGTGCCAGTTGATTGCGCGATTAGCAAAGCCCGCATTCAAAACGCGTGCGCGCGAATTTCGAACTCAAGCTGCAATTTCATAATCTTCATTCGCATCATCAGCGACAGCGACATCATCATCATCCTCTTCATTATCATCATCATATACGCAGTTAGCTAGCTGAGTCAAACTGTATGTGCTAATTGAATCGATTCCCATCAGACAAGAAATCTCTCAAAGCGAACAGGTAAAAACCAGGTAACTTCCTCGTCCAGCAGCTAACTAAGACCAAGGCGAAGGCCAGTTCAGTCCATAGGCTGACTGTGGTTATAAAATCAAGTGACAAAGTAAATTTCAAGTAGTCTTCCATGTGAATTTCCATCGTTATCTCAAAATGATAGTCCTCTTATTTAGGCCTAATTAAAATCTAATATATATGACTAAATAAATGAAAGTGTTATGACCAAAGTCTGTTTTCCTGTAACTGACTAAAATCGATTTCAAATCGACTTAAGACTTAATTGTAGCCCTGCTTTAAAGAACTTTCTTCGAGAAGAGGAAAAATTGAATTGAAGATAACTTGATTTTTTCCAGTGTATCCATTTGTGGGTGGCCATAAAAAAATTGCAATTAAATTGTTGTTCGATCAAATCAGTTCAATGGCAAAGCCAGTGCCAGAAGAGGCAGCACTCAAGATGCCTTTGTAATGCAAATATAAACACGACTGTGCCAGGCCTAAACAACAGCAGCACACACACACACACGTTTTAGCCATAAACATATTAAATTTTATGATTATTAGAGCCGCAACGTCTGCTGAGCAACTTATGCAAATCTCTGATTAAAGATAAGCGCGCCTCGTGGCAGCTTTTCCTAGTGCTGCTCCAGCTCCATGTGAAAGAGGTCGGCAGTACGCATTGGAAAACCAGTTGCTTTCAATTTTTTCATGTTCAGGGTTCACCAGGTGTCTTCAACTTCAATTGTTGGTGGGCAGGTATTTGCTCAGTTGCCTCAACCTCAAAGCATTTTATACGCCGTGCAATTGGCACTCCAAATAGCTGATGACCGCCATGCATGCTGATGACTCTTAATGGCTTTTGGGTACGACATCAAAAACTATCACACGAACAACAACGCAACATTCCGCACCCAAAAAAACACAGCAACAACAACAACAACAACAACTAAATGCAACTGAAAACGAGCGCGTTTTAGATTTTTTGTATTGGCGTAAGGCATATGGCATAATCAAGTTTGCAGCTCAAGTGGCTTTTACTTGCACCACCAGACTGGGCCACGCACCACTGAGGAGCAGTCACTGTAGCTCCCACTTCCCATTCATCGTGTCTGCTAGTGGGGCTGCCAAGTTGTCTATGTCACATGCTTTTGCCTCATGTTTTATTGCCACCGTCACAGCGGTTCATGTTGTTATTTGCATTGGCCAAACAGCGGTCGCTGCACAGTGCACAGTGGGGCAAACCTCATACGAGAAAATATAATACTTAAATGTTATATATCAAATGCTTGGTTCGAGAATTTCACATTATTAAATGTGTATTTCAATAGCAGCTCTTCCTCTCACGCTTTACTACACAAAATATAGAGTTTGGTTTCACTGTAGTTAGCTGCTGTTGTCTGCCAAGTGAATGCAATGAGCGGCACAAATATTGAAATACACACAAGATGGAAGATGAGAAAAGAAAAAAAAGTAGAGGGCTGCTGATGAGATTGCCTCTCCATATAATTATCTTGTGGCTCTCTGTGCATAATTCTATCGTCTCTTGTTCTATGCATGTTTGTTCAGATCTCGACGGGGCGGCGTTTCTACCAAAGGTCTCGCAAATATTGCACAAACGTACAATGTTTGAACTACACTCGATGTGGAATTTGATGTACGAAGATGTAATTGCTGTCGATGTTGGTCTGGAAATGCAGACATATGTGTATATAGATCTATACACACTAACATACTGTATTTGTATTTATAGCTGTACTAGTGATTTGACCCTCGCATAGGCTTTATAATCAAACTTCAAAGTCAACCAGCAATTATTGTTAGGCCTTGTCATAATAATGCCAATAAGCTACCAAGTGCATGGCAAAAAAAAAATAACTAAAAGTAAATAAATGAATCAATAATAAACAAATAGCACAAGTATTTAGCAATATATTAAACTTTTCTTGTATCTGACCTTATTAATATACAAACGATTTCCGCCTTATTTCCAAGGATATCTGAAAGATACAAAAGTATCTGAAACTAGCTGGAAAAGTGGCTGAAAAGAAAAATTCTTAATAAATTTGGGGTATGACATAAAGTAGTTATAGATATATGTATATATATATATATATGTATACTAAAGTATCTGCAAAAGTATATATATATATATATATAACTAGCCATAACTACAAAAAATATCTATGTATTATAACATTTCTTTTGTGCGTAGCTACACTGATAAAGGAAATGTTTTATAGTTAGAACTAGACAAAAAAGTATTACAAAATATAATACACTTACATGTACACCGGATGCCAATCGATATTGCAGCAGATCAATTTGTTTAAGATACTTAAGTGTATATCTTGTATACTCAAGTATCTGTGCAATGATCTAATATTGGGTTGGCCAAAAACAAAGTGTTTGAGGAAGCTTTTTTTTAGCGCGAACTCAAACAACATAGTATATAGCACATACATAAATATATATATATATATATATATATATATATATATATATATATATATATATATATATTTATTTATTTATATTTATCTGTATGTACATAATGTATCTAGTGGTTTGCGTGCCAATTCGTAAAATGTCTGTGTAATCTTTAAAGAGTCGATGTGAAACATGTAT